TGAGATCAATAAATTCGATCAAACAATCCATACATTTTTCATCTTTAAGATTGGTATTTTATGTGAAGAATTTTTTTTTTTCACTTTACGGTTAATATACACACAGTTAAAATGTTACATTTTTATAAGTAATTAGAGCATTTTTGCCTCCAGCCCCTGGTTTCTGTAACTGCTTGTTACAGAGGTGATGAATTATCTCCACAGAAATCACCTGGCAGTGGCGGCCATGGCCCAGCTTCACTCCTGTCAATGTGGTCCATCTTGGTCAACAGTCTATTAGAAATGCAATAAGCTTATTAAAACATCATACTGTATCAAACGGCAGCAGAATACAGTGCAGTGAGAAGATAAAAACATTCTTCTCACTGCCAACCTATTCAACAGAGACATGAAGATAGAGAAGATAAAGGAATCAGAATCTTTCTCACTGTTTCTTTAAAAATGTTTATTTCTCATTATAGTCAATGTACAAAGTCTCTAAAGCGTGAGGTTCAATAGGATTTCACTGCCTCTAAATGATTTATTTGAAACATTATAGAAAAAAAGGATGATCATCAAATAAGCAACATGTAAATAAAATATTTGGAAAATAAAGATTTACTCTCACATTCTATCTCTAGGCTAAATATTCAGACACAATAAAATTCAATATAATACAAAACATTTTCATAATCTGCGAAAATCAATAATATACAAATTAATCATTCATATATGCCTATTAGTCATTATGAAGGCCACTCCGGTGTTAGAAACGTCATTTAAGACATGGATGTAGTGGTGTTTTCTTTTTTTTTTTTAAGTTTTGTGCCACAAGTGGGCTTTATTAAAGAGCAGAAAGACAGCAAATGGGTTGGAGAGAGAGAGAGAGAGGAAGATATCAAAGAAAGGCTGAAAACTGGATTAATATCTGACACACGTCGCTTTAAAATGTCCAGACTGAATTTAGGCTGCCATTTGCATATCTGTCTACAGCTTCAGATCATACATTTCTGCTTGTGTCGTACCTTCTGTATTTGCATCTTACTGTGTTTTGGATGAACTGGGAACCAAGGAAAGCAGGTGAGGATAGAAGCTGAGGCTGCACAGAGACTTCAAACTGAAAATGCACAGAGGAAGGTAGAACTAATGACTGGAACAAACAGCATCACCTATTTCTGACATAATTTGACATGTTAAAAAATACATTTATTTGAAATCTCCTGACCAAAATATCAGTGTGCAAATGACCCCTCCTGCAGTCCAAGTTGGAGCTTCTGTTTTTCATGTTCACTCCATCCTGTCAGCGTCATCACCATTGATTTGCACCACACAATCCTTGTTCAAAGGCTCCTTCGAGTGGGTGGTGTCAAAGTGCTCTTTGTTCACTAGGTACCTGCCCCGAGCATCCAGCCCTAAGGCAGGTAGAAATCGGCGGTCAAACTGAATTTCTTGGCGTAAGTAGGAGGTCCTCTTCTGGCAGGAGTCCCCAGTCCCCTCTTGCAACGCTGTTAGGAAGACGACCAGCTCAAAGTGGTTAGAAGTGCCTTCACACAGAGCAGGATAGAGAGGGCTCTGGCGGTCCAGCGGGTGATAAAAGGTAAGCGGGAAGATAAAGAAGGGGCATGGCTGTTGCCCTAAATGGTCCAAGTGGAAATCCATTGAGGTCTGGTGGAGAGCTTGACCTTCTTGTTCCTCGAAGAGCACAGCACTCACCTTTACGTCTACCAGAGGTCGGTGCACAAGATTAGCGACTCGTATCATTAGACACGTCTGGCCCTGGTGTTGGCCCACTACTGCCTGCGGACTGAACTGGATCACTCCTGCTCGCTTCTGAGGACGGGCAATCTTGGCTACAAATGCACCTGCAAATTCAGATAAAGACATTTTAGGACACTGTCATAGTGATATGGCAGCAGTAAAATCCAAGCTAAATTTCCTTAATTGAATATGAGAAACATATCAATGTTCTGGATCTTCTACCTAATGTAAAAAAAGATTTAATACTCCACCAGACAATACTGTTTCTGGGATGATTTGAAAACTGCAGATCAAATCTGATCACACAGCAAGAAATGTCCATCTAACCAAGTCTTACAATCTTTTTTCTTGCCAAATATTTTTGACGTTGTTTTGAGAGCAGTAGGCTATTCTAATAAAGGGAACATTCTGTCAAATTAATCTTTTTTTTCTAAAAGATTATATACCCAGTAAATATACTATTCTGCCAGGGCTTTAAGACGATTGCACTTCCTGATAAAGACTTCCTGATAATATATAATCACAGAACAACGTCTTATCATGTGCAATTGTCTTACTGCACAAATTATTGCACTTATTTTTCAGTAGAATTTTCTAAAAAGAAAATGACTCATCTAATACCTCTTGTTTGTAGATTAATCTCAAAAACAAGATCCAAAGGCCTTTTTTTGGCTAATTCTAAGATTGTGAGACTTTGTTACATGGACATCTTTTGCAGTGCAGGAAGCTAAGCAAGATGGAATTAATATGAAAGGAATTAACACACATTTCTCATTAAGATGTATGCAGTAGTATTTAAATTCTGATGGTAAATTAGTTTTTCTTTTCAGTGGTATTATTCCTATCTTAGAGGTATTTTTTTTTTTTTTTTTTTTGAGGGCCTATGGGCCCAATTGCATTGGGGAGTATGATACTTTTCTCTCTGCTGCAGAGGAGAAGAGTTTCCCCTGCAGAGACGGAGCAGCAGCTGAGATACAGGTATACAGTTGGTTGAAGAGGTATAATGTTGGTGGGTGTTCATCATGCAACGGTGGATCACACAAAGTGTAGTGACATGAGGCCATGGCAGACCTGCAGAGCATTCCTAAACACCATAATATGAGTAACTCTCTGTCTAACCTTAGACCCATAACTCTGACATCACACACTATGAAATGCTTCTAAGTAAAGTTGTTTCTAACAATAGTAGCCAAGTGTTAGCCTTTGAAAATCCCCTAAAGTTTGCTTAGAGAAGGTGTGGGTGTGGATGATGCATTGCTAATGATGCTGCCAATATATACATGCTTCTTGAAACTAAGGCCAGTTCCATATGGATTATGTTTAATGACTTTTCTTCTTTTAATACTATTCAGCCACTTGGCAATTAAGTTGAATGATTTTACCCTATAATAAAACTTTAGCCTTTTTCCGGCTTGGCCCCAGTATTTAAAACTTGGAGTTAAGCAGTCTGACTTTATCTAAACAAATACAGGAGCTCCACAGGAAAAAGTTTTGTCACCATTTCCATGTCCTACATACAGGCTACTGCTGATTATAGAACCAGTCAGCCATCTATCTGTTGCAGAAGTACTGGGATGACATTGCCCTGGTGGGTCTGCTTACTGGAGGTGATCGCACATACAGAGAGGCAGAGTCATCTCTTGTCAGCTAGGATGTTCTAATTTATTTAAAATTAAACTGTGCAAAGATAAAAGAGCTAAACAACATTTAAAGGAGTAACCAAGAGGATATTTTTTTACCTGTTTTTATTCAAGAAAAACAGACTGAGGTGGTTTAAACCTATACATTTTTAACCAGGCTGACTTAAAGAGTGTGCTCCCTCCTGCGTACAGGCCCCAGCTAATCAGGGTGGAACCAACAGTTAAGGAAGTCTGAGTGTGGTCTGAGGGTGCCATGGAGAAACTTCAGGATTGTTTTGAATGTTCTGACTGGAACACGTTCGAAGCTTCAGTAACTTATGACACAAAATAAATATAGATGAGTATGCCATGGCTGTGTCAGCCTACATCAACAAATGCATTCAAGACTTCAGCATAACAGAGAACATCACTACCTGGGCCAATCAACGACCCTGAATGAATGAGAAGGTTCAGAAATCACTAAAAGTATGGAACTCAGGTCTGGTGACAGAGAGGCACTGAGGACAGTGCGTGCCAACTTGAACCGTGCCATCACAGCAGCGAAGCAGAACCACAGCTGGAAGATCCAGGATCTCTTCCATGATGCCAGCAACACCAGGAGGATCTGGCAAGGCATACAAGCGATTACTGACTACAACATACCCTCACCCTGTTAAATGCAGCTAATGCTGACTTCTAATAGGACTTGAACAACTTCTTTAGAAGGTTTGAGGCACTAAACAGCACAGTGAAAGCCGTTCCACACCAGGGAGAGGATGCACTCAACCTTGACATAGCTGATGTGTGGAAAACTCTGAGGAGTCAACCCAAGAAAGGCCCCAAGCCTCAATTACATACCTGGACGGTTGTAGCAGGGATGTGCAGTTCAGCTGGCTAGTGTCCTCACAGACATTTCTAACACCTTGTTAAAATCCAAAATGCCAGCATACTTTAAGTATGCCACCATCATTCCGGTCCCAAAAAGCCTCAGATAACCTCACTCAATGACTCCCTGCCTGTCGCACTGACTCCTATTACAGTAGCAGCCATACAAAATGGCCCCTCCCGGTCAAGCGCTAGCCGGATGGCAGCCCGCTTCCCTTCAGCTCCCAGTGAAATCCCATCCAACTTCCAGCCACTGGCCTTCTCCTGAGCATGCAATTTTTTTTTACTCTAACTCCACCCCTTCACTGACAGGGTCTAACCAGCAACACTTCTCTTTAGATCGTAATGTCCACAATTCATGACAGAATATTTTAGTACAAAGATTGATGTTAAAAAGGAATTGTAGGCGACCAGCCAAGGACCGGCCAAGGGTCCATCAAGGAAAGTGGGTAAATTTTGAATGGCTCCTGTATGATTAAGTGCTTCGAAAAGGTGGTTAAAGAACAGTCCACACTCCAGTCTCCCCCCAACATTCGACCCGTTCCAGTCACCTACAGATGAAACCGCTACACTGAGGATGCCATCTCCACTGCTCTTCACCTGAGCCTAGCACACGTAGGAGAAAAACACCTGTGTATGGATGCTGTTCCTGGACTTCAGTTCAGCTTTCAAAATCATCCTCCCACAGCATCTGATAGGAAAACCGTATCAGCTGGGCTTCAATACACCCCTCTGCAATTGGCTGCTAGCCTTCCTCACAAAAAGACCTCAGTCAGTCTGGGTTAGACAGAACAGCTCTGATGTCATCACCCTAAACACAGGCTCCCCTCAGGGCTGTGTCCTGAGCCCCCTGCTGTTCACTCTGATGACACATGACCCCAGGCTCACCACCAATCACATCGTGAAGTTTACAGACGATACCACAGTGGTGGGCCTCATCAGAGATGACAACGACCTGGACTACAGAGAGGAGGTGGAGCAGCTGGTGCTGAGACAACAGCCGGACAATGAATGTAGAGAAGATGAAGGAGATCATCATCAAGAACTGGCCTAACAACCCTCCACTGCTTATCAATAGCTCAGCAGCACCAAATTTCTGGGGGTGCACATCAAAGACTACCTCATCTGCACTGTGAACACCACCTCACCGGTCAAAAGGGCACAAAAGCGCATGAACTTCCTGCTGAGGATGAGGAGAGCCCACCTGCCCCCACCTATCTTCATGACCTTCTACAGAAGCACCATAGAGAGCGTTCTGACCAGCTGTCTCACTGTGTGGTGTGGAGGCTGCAGCGCCTCAGACTGGAAGAAGGTGAGGTTAGTGGTGAGAACAGCAGAGAGGATCATGGGGGCTCCTCTTCCTTTCATTAAAGACATTTCATCCCAGCGCTGCTGGTCCTGAACCTGTGACATTATCAATGACCCCTCATCCCCCCAACATGGACTGTTCTCCCTGCTGTCCCCTGGGAAGAGGCTTCAAAGCATTGGATGCAGGTCCAGCAGATTCCGAAACAGCTTCTTCCCCGCTGCCATTAGACTGCTGAAATGTTGAGAAAACTCTAAATCATGTCACAGACTCTGCATCACATTCCCAACACCAATCCAAAATACTGCTTGTTTGCATAAATATATATTTAATATTCTGAACTTACATATGAAAGAGGTTGTTTTTTTTAACGTCATGAAAGCTGAATAAAACAAAATTTAGTTTTGTATTCACTCTGTGACGATGACCTGGATGACTGAGAATCTTCACTGACAATAAAAGTGTTTTTTGTTTTATTCTAAATATCTGCGTGTTTTCCTGGATAATAAACGGCGCCTTAGAAAGAATACAGAGGCTGTCCCAGAAAAGGCTCTTCTTCCTGTGGAAACTTAGACAATTTAAAGTCAGTCGTATCCTTTTTTATCAGTAAATGCTAGCTAGCATTTTATGCAGTGTTGTGTTCAGTGAGCAGCATCTGCATAGACGATAAAACAGAATAAACAAAATGATCAAAAAAGCTAAGGATGTTTGGCGCCTACCCTGATGCGCTGTACTCGAAAGACACTGAGTTCTAAGCTGAGAACAGCTGAATTCCTAAGAAACCATCCTCTATACAAAGTTTTAATAGTCTTAAAAGCTCTTTTAGCCAAAGTTTTGTTTTGCCTCAGTGTTCCACTGAAAGCTTCAGAAGGTTTTTCATTCTTCAAGCTTTCAGATTTTTCTGTGTGTGTTTTTTTTATGTCATCCACTAACAATAGTGATGTGATGTTGGGTGGTGGCAAATGAATTTCCCCTCTAGGGGATTGATAAAGGTTAATTTATTGTATTCTAAACTGGAAGTCACGTCTAAATCAAAAGGCTGTGTTCGAAAGTCCACCCAAATAGAGTCATATAAAAGAACAGACAATTTTGTCTTATAGGTAGGAGGACGATGTAAAAAAAAAAGACCAAACATTGAAGGCAAACGTTTGGGTTTTATTAGCAAGATGCTAAGCATTAGCTATGATCAGCTAACTTTTCTGATGTCAAAAAACAGACAATATTTTTCGTATTACCTAAAATGGAATGTTTTTTTTATGAATATGCTGGGTTACTTTTAATTTGTGGACCCTTATGGAAGAATGGAGTACAAACAATTGAAGAAAGGATTTATAATACGGCTTTTGGACGCCTTCAAAGGTATGTTGTCATGGCTCCTTGTCATGTATACATTTTGACATGCTGCTATATCTGTGTTAATTGTGCTTCAGGATGGATAATATTCACCCTGAGTACCTCAGGAATCTGGGTATTGTTAGGGTGTCACCGCTAACACCGCTCTTTAACATCGCTTAGCGGTCGAAGACAGTAGCTATATTTACATTAGTGTTGCACCGATGCCATTTTTTGGCCCTGATACCGATACCCAATACCTGGATGTGCAGTATCGGCCGATACCGATACCATAATAATGTAAAATAATTGCCATCATGGCTTTGTCAAGCTGCTGCCTACCTTTGTGAAGCAGGAAAAAATCTAATACAAAGTGAATCCAGTAGAACTTTTTATTGCCTACCTGGAATGGGTTACAATAATTGAAGAAACTTATGGCTCTCAAAATGGTATCGGTGCTCTACTTGTTGGTACTCGCCGATACCGATACCACCATTTTAGGGCAGTGAGCCGATACTGGTATCGGTATCGGTGCAACACTAATTTATATGGACATAAATAATCAGATTGAAGGCCAGATCAGATCAAAATGTTTCATGTAAGCATCACAGAATTAAGATTCAAATCCGATATGGTCCTATCAGAAACACAATTTTAATTCCAAAAGAGAGCGGAGATTTCTGCCGATCATCATTCTGGTAGGTGTCCATCAATCTCCACTGCGCATTCGTGCCACACCAGCTAATCAATCAGTTGCTCCTGGTCTTTGATGGAGGAGGTGCCATTCTGCAGGGCATTTCAGGAGTGCAGAGTCTAGGGACATTAATTTAGAGGCGATCTGGTTTCTGTTCAAGTAAGGCAGGAGTTTGATCTGCATGGAGGTGAACCTTTTTCTGGTGCATATGTTGGCACAGTCTTTAGATGTGCACCAGAGGTGATCTGATTCAGTGCTGGATGAAGTACTCAACAGTAGCACATGAGTAAAGTATTGATACTAATAGTTAAACATTACAAAACAACAAGTAAAGGTTACTCAGTCAGTAATGTAATCAGGTTAAAGTTTGAGGGTACTCACTTTTGGAAATACTTTAGTATTCAAAAGTGCATGCATTTTATAGTACTTAAGTTTTCAAAAATATAAATTTAATTTTCTAATATTAGTAAATTTCTGTATAATTTTCAAAATAATTTTAAAGAATCTTTTAACTTTCCCAAACCACCAGATATATTGATGCGTAGAACCACCTGCTACAGCTTCTAGACCACTTGGAAAGAACTTAAGCATAAAAATCCCACAAAAACTAAGGACAGCTATTATGGTTATTATTTCTTATTCAAAAACAAACCAAAAAGAAAACAGGAGTGTCTAGATTCTCCTCACACTTTCACTAAGGAATAGTGAAACTGCTACTCTGCTTTGAGAACTAGTCCTACTGAACAGCTTGGCCACATGGAATCAACTCGCACCTTGATAAAATTTATAAACTACAAATAATATCTGCGCTGAGTTTCTCACATTTGTGGACCGTCATGCAAATCTCTGAAACAGTGGAGTCCAAATTGAGTCCTAAGGGCTGTTGTCTTACATGATGAGATGCTTTTCAAGAGAGAAAAACAGGAGCAGCAGATTACAAAGCTAAGCTGAGCCAAAAGGAACTAAAATAACAGCAGCTTCCTCAAAATGGAGGGAAGTGAAAGTTATAAGTCCTCAAAAAATGACCCAAGTAAAGTACAGATATATAATTTTAAAGTACTTAAGTAGAGTAATCAAGTAAATGTACTTTGTTACTTTCAACCACTGGTCTGGTTTTGGGAGCAGCAGATTTTGTCCCTGCTTTAAGCAGATGACGTGGTCCTGCTGACTCCCTCCTGCTAAGACCTACAGCATGCAGTGGGTGGTTCACAGCTGAATGCTGTATGTTTGATAAGAGCAAAAAAACAGCGTCACACATCTTTCACCAACCTGTGACAGTTTCATTGTTCTACAGTGACAGCCAGAAATACTAAGATTTCTTTTCCTGTGGAACTATTTCTTTTTGCACCTCTACCAGTCTTTGATGGGCTGTATAACAACATTTCTTTTAAACTTTTTTTTTCTGAAAGGGCAATGTTGTTTAAATTAACACCTTCGTCCAAATACAACTTAAACATTTACTTATAACTTTATTATTAAATTGAGTTCATAGTGATTTTGTTTTGGGAGTATTTGGGAGTATGGAGCAGATGATATAGCAGAACAGCTTATTGTTTACAGCTTATTGTTTACACCCAGCAGGCTGAGGTATTTGTAATCGTACTTGTATAGATGAGATAAGAGCCTAAAACAAAATGTAAAGACACATGAATGTACAGGCTCTTTTCCGCTTATTTATTTATTTGTATGACAATGAGTAATAAAACAAAATAAAAAAAAAAATGCTCCCCATTTTTCAACATTATTTTGTAAAATGACTTTTGAAAAAACAAATACATTTTTCCGTAACAGCTGGGCTTCAATACAATTAAAAAACATTCAACATTTAAAAATGAACAAATGATAGCAGGATTTTAATTTTCATGTCATCCAAAGGATGGTGGGACATTGTGCTCCTTAGTTACCTTATGAGCTCCCAAACAGCCTCACTTTCTGGCCTGTTTCTTTGCTGCCAGTACTAATTGGACAGCACTTATCATGGCAACTACTGATGCATGCCCACTTTGGCTAAAGAGTCCTCACCAATTCAATGAATCAATTGCGCTTTGATCTATATTTTCGCATTTCTATTAAATATTTCTATCAAATATCTACAGTATGACTTTGAAGGGGTTTGGCCAACTACACATATCACTTTTTTTTGCTGTGCAAAGTGCTGCAACAAGCTTCTTAGGTGGCTCTGTCCAGGACTAAAAACAGTTAAGAAGATGAGCTCTGAGACAGTTTTCTCACAAAAGGGATAAAATGTAGTGCCTACAGTAAGTCACAGCAAAAGCTGAGCCCATAGATATGTCTAGGACAGACACAGGACTAAGCACTGAAAAACAGGCCCAGCTCTATCATCTCTAATCAGGGGATTTGATGGCACCAATACAGCTGATGTTTCTCTGCAGGATGCTGTCAAAGCAATGAACAGAAAACTTTGAACTGGTCTGTCTAGATGGTTTGATGGAATTTAATCTGTAACGATGACATGTTATTAATTGAGGCCAAAGAGCCAAACTGAATAAAACTGAACAGACCTGACAGACTGACTGATTGACTGACTGACTGTGGTCGTTCTTTCCAGCTTTGTAGAGTGGCAGCCATTCAAAACCGCCCTTCCCAGTCAAACGCCAGCTGAATGGCAGCCTACTCCCCTGCGACTGCCGGCAAAATCCCCCCCCCTCCCCCCCCAACTTCCAGCCACTGGCCTTCTCCTGGACATTCATATTTTTTACTCTGACTCCACCCTTTCACTGAATTACAGGATCTGACCAGGAGATGGCGCTTCTCTTTAGATCTTAGTGTCACTTCCCTGAATACTAGTCCTGATTTCCAACTAATGGTTCAGAGCGTTTTAAAGCCACTGCTTCATTCAGAATCTGTGGCTTTAGAATTTGTGTTCAGATATTTTCCTTCCAGTCTGACTGAGCTGGAGGTTTTCTCTTTAGATGTGCAAAAGCTGCTTAAAAAAAAGAACATATAAGCATCAAAATATAATTTTTTTCCCTTTTCACATGTAAAATAAAAATGAAAGCGAAGTATCATTTTATTCCATTTTGTTGATCTGTCGTACACAATCCTGGTAAAATACAATCAAGTTTTGAATTGTATCATCTTTCCAACATTTCAGTCATTAATTTGCCTTTAATTGTTTTGTGTTTTATGGCCTGAAAAGAGATTTTATTATTTTCTTAACTTTGTTTTATCTGCATAACATCCTGTATATGTGAAAAAGTGTTGGCGCAGATATGACAGCTAAATCTGGGATAGAGTGCCTCTAAGGTTTGAGTCAGAAGTTTTACCTGTGATGAAGGCTTCCAGCATGAGTCCCAGCAGCATCTGCACAGCAAGCAGTGCGATGGCACTGGGACAGTCTCCACTGGGGAACATGGTGCCATAGCCGATGGTCAACTGTGTCTCAAGAGAAAAGGAAAAGGCGGCAGTGAAACTTGTAATATGTTTCACGCAAACCACGTGATCCTGTGGTGGGTCGTCATGATTTTTCACAGCAAGGTCTCCATTGAGATGGGCCAGCAAGTACCACAAGCAGGCGAACAAAAGCCAGTGGGCAATGAAGGACGCACAGAAGGCAAGGAGAACCCATCTCCAGCGCAGACTAACCAACAGTCCCCACAAATCCTGCAGCACCAGCAGCCAGACTCTGCCCCAGTTTTTACGCCATGAGTTTGAGGGGCAGGCAGGGGCATTGATTGTAAAGTGTCCGTCCTTGGCAACTAGACGTTGACGAGCTGGAGACGACAATAGAGGGTAGGAGGAGGCTTTGCCAGCCAGAACACTGCTGTTGGACTTGGTGGTCATGGTTGCTGGCAGATCTCAAACAGGGCAAATGAAATTGACCCTGAAAAAGAAATGAAAACAAAAATAAATTTAATAGCACAGCCTTTTCACTTGAAACAAACAAACCTTAAACTGCAACACAAACCATTTGGATTTAGACCAAAGCACTCAACAGACAGAAAAATTGTTATCTTACAGAGAGAATTAAACAGTCTTGAATGTTGAAATTATCTTGAATAAACTGAGCAATTCATTGAAATAAATTCCACTCATTTATCTGACCAAATTTAAAATGGGAATGCCTCAAGGCTTAATCTTTGCACCCTCCCATTTTAGCTTATGCATGGGAGGAGCATAATTACCTGACAGCTGCAGGGTAACTGCCAGAAGACAAATGTATGTGCAAAAACTGCTGAGTTATCCAAGAAGATACATTATTTTTGAAGGGAACATATAATGTCTTTTTCTGTCAGCCTCAGCAGATGGCCGCTCACACTGAGTCTGTTTCTGCTGGAGGTTTCTTCCTGTTAAAGGGGAGTTTTTTCTCTCCACTGTCGCTATAAGCATGCTTGGTTTAGGGGATTGACTTCAAGTCAATGAGTCGATGCAATCAACTGGTTTTCCTTAGATATAAAACTTTGAATCAATTTGACTGGATGATCTGGTTGAACTGGAAAGGGCCTTGAGATGACGTGTTGTGAATTGGCGCTATATAAATAAACTGAATTGAATTAATGTTTTACATTAGCGTTAAATATAATCATCTAACCAGGACAATAAAACAACTACAAGACCTAAATATTTTTCTCATTAAAGAGTAACGTTGATGAAAACCTCATCCCAAGAACCCACTTAATATTAAATTAATTAACTTTGTAAAACTGTAAACCCCAATTAGACCTGTTTCCCCAGGTGTACCTCTCAGCCCAGCAGTTTTTGCATACAATAATATTTTACCACTTATCCTGTTGTAGAACAGTTTGGGGGCCAGGCTAAAGAAAACCTTCAAACTACCAAGAACATTATGTATACAGGAATTAAATTGGATCAGAAATCTGTTAGATGGCATTTTAATCTACAGACAGTAATTGTAATGTAACAGAAAAAAAAGAACTGCCAGTAAGCTCAGCAAATGTTGTTTCACCAGAATCCTTACAATTTATTTCATATAATTCTAAAATTGAGAATCTTACCCCCTAAACCCCAAACATCATTAAGACATTAGTTTTTTAGGCAAAATCTGGTTGGCCCATCATAGTCTTGATTCAGAAATACTTAATGTTTGGTTGGTCTGATTTTGGTTGGTCTGATTTTGTCCCACTTTAATCCAATAACAGACTTTAAAAATGTGTTAAAAACAGGGTTTTACCTTAGAACTGTGCTAGTGGATTGGGTCTGAACATGTGTGTTTATTTATTCACGCAGGTTAATACAGGCATGTTTTTGTACATCTGCAGATTTGGACACATACCTACTGTGATACAAATGCATATTCTTTATGCTCAACATCAACATCTTTGTTTATAGATGTGGGAGATCGGCCTGTTTTCCAGTGTAGTCCTGTTTCTCTGACTGTGACTAGCTGGATGTGCTCTCTTCATCCTCTGACATGGGAGCTGGCTCGGAGCTCGTCTGCCTGGCTGTGTTTTTTCTGGACGGGGCCCCATATTACAGTTGCCTTTTTTATCATTGCTTCTGTCTCCTTGAACCCCAGTTGGCCTCAGCAGATGGCCGCTCACACTGAGTCTGGTTCTTCCGAAGGTTTCTACCTGTTAAAAGGACGTTTTTCCTCTCCACTGTCGCTACAAGCACACGTAGTGTGAGGGATTGCTGAAGAGTCAATGAGTCGATGCAGTCAACTGGTTTTCCTTAGATAGAAAACTTTGAATCGATTTGACTGTATGATCTGGTTGAACTGTAACGTGCCTTGAGATGACATGTGTTGTGAATTGGGGCTTCATAAATAAACTGAATTGGGCATAAATACTCCAACAAGACATGTCTTTTTTCTTTTATATTGAAATTTCAGATTTATTTTTTTCTTTTTTAATCCTTTAGGTATAATATAGGAGACAGGTTTCATATTAGATATTCATTGTTTCTCAGATCATCTACAACGTTTATGAAGCAATGCTGAATGTATTGTATGTATGTTTGAATGTATGTATGTCCTTAAATACACAAATGAGAACTGTTCTTGGGGTTTGCAGCCTGTGGTGTCCCTATGAGCCTGCACTCTGTCATCAAATGTATTTATAGTTTGTTGATGTGATGTGAACTGAAAGTGCAAAATGCTAACAGTATGAAACACGTGCTTTTCATTACAAAAGTTAGCAATGATATAGGGTAATTAAACTACAGCACTGCTCTGTTTTCAGTACATCTAGCCTTGGGATTAGTTTTAGACCTAATGAATCTCAGATGCTGAATTTTTTTTTTTACTGGACTAATTGACTAAATCAGATTCACAAATTTAGGCTCAATCTACACAACAGCCATGTTTGAATCAAGCAGCTGGAGGAGATGTATGTACCGGCAGTCCTGACAGTCTGACAGCTAGACCTCTGCATTCTGCAGAGTTTCTATTTCTATGTCAATATTGTTGCCAGGAGATTAGAGCGGCTCTCAGCTGGGAGGCAGTCTGAGCAACAAAGTGACATGCAGAGTAGGAATGCGTCTTGCAGGGAGCTTTCCCTGCACGGCTGTATGACTCTTCACAAATAACAAATCAACCCGTTTCACAAATCAAACCACCTTCATCAATGTCAGGTTAGAAGCTTTTCTGATTTTCAAAGCTTAAACTAATTCTTCAAAGCTTCTGTGTTTAGATTGAATTTGGAGTTGCTTTAGTGAGGACATTTCCTCTTCTCAGAAAAACAATAGTTGGATAACACTCAGCAAGACTGTCACATGGTTCAGTTTCCAGTCCACTGGATCCCAGTTCTGACGGAACCAGCCATGAGAACGCAGATGAGAGCTTGATTCCCAGCTTTGCATACAGGATGTCAGGATCTGACTCCTGCCCAAACATCAGATGGCGCAGTGAAAGAGGATTTTTCCCATAAACTTTCTCTTCTGCTTTGTGTCATCACACAATTAAATGTTGATGATCATTTTTCTATATCCAGCTGTAGATTTTCATAAATAATCAGACCAATTAGTTAGCTAAAGAAATCTGCTTAATAAGGTTAATGACTTTTCTTTTAGAAAAATGACATCAAATGTAAAACATGTCTGATGATCACTATGTTAGAGCAGAATAGAATAGAACTGAAATCATCTCTATTTTTCATTATAGGTTAAACTCACTGACATTTAAGGAAAATGTACGTTAAAAAGATCAAACTAAACACTCTATGGGATTCTGTATTGTTTAAATGATCAGGGTTCTTTTTATTATTTTATAAAAGACGCAACAGGTCCACAACCTTCAAAAAGGTCCAGCTTTGTTAGATCATCAGGATCTTTTAGCAAATGTTCGACGGGTCTTTGTGTTCTCTTTGTTCAGCAGCGTTTCTGTCCTGGAAACTCTCCCATGGAGACCATTTCTGCACAGCATCTTTCTTATTGTTGAACCACGACCCCTGACCTTAACTGAGGCAGTGAGGCCTAAAGAACTTAAGATCTTCAGGGTTCTTCAGTGAACTCAAGCATTGATCTTCCATCAAACAATCAAAGGTTATCAGACATATGTATTAAATTATTCAAATATAAACTGATTTACTATGGATTCCTGCCAGGATTAGGAGACCCTTTCATATATTTTTTAGTGGATTTCTGTGGATTAAGCATTTGTAACAACATAAGACAGAATGCACTTGGATGGGTTTGACTTTAAGGCTACGAACTCAACCACAACTTCTCAGAAAAAGTCCGAAACACACTGGGAAAACATAAATTCGACATAAAATATCAAACCTAACATTCTTGTCCTCTTTATCGACTTTGGTTAAATTTCACTAACCGCCTCACAGGCAGTTAGATAAAGAAATGTTTACTGTCGTCATCTCTAGCCCCTCAGTATTTCATGTAATGTCGTCACATTTTCGACCATTTCAATAAATTCTGCATGAAACATGCAGTACATAGGAAAAAGTGTGTTGATTACTCTGTGCTCATACTGTGGTTTATGTAATGTGTGATCAGCTGTTCCTCTGCTACATTTTTTTTACTTTAACAAAACAAAAGCCGGTCTGCATTGCAACATATCAAACTGTTTTATTTAAAGATGAATACTGGTGCTTGTTTTCTGTTTGTAGTTGGATTAAATACTTGTTTTTTGGTTGGTTTATACAAGTTGTTCTAACTAGAAAGCCTAACTAAGCAGAAAATATTTTTTTTGACAGCGTGAAATCAAAATGCAACAAAAGTCCCCTTTCTCTCAGTAAAAACTTGTTAGCTCTGACTGATTAGATAGCGGAAGATTTCATCCAGGTATCAGAGCCTCACCAGAAGACAGCATCATAATGAAGTTAGTACTCACCTAGAGCTGCAGTCGGGGCTAAACTGGAGCCCTTTGACCTGTTCCCCTCAGTCTGGCTCTGAGTCTGTTATGCAGACAAAGGACTGAGGCACATCAGAGAGTGCCACTGATTCCTTGGAAGAGGGGGCTTAAAATCCCAAAAGGCGTCCAACAGAAAAAGAGTGGAAAAAGACCTCTCCAGTGAGGATTGTGTCTGAGTGTGACTGAGCGTGCTGCTGCGTGCTCCACTGTGATGTGCAGCGTCAAGCTCCAGGGCCACGACGATTCAATTGGTCACATTACTCTGCACGGAGCCTATTAGTGCTCCCACAAGACAGCAGATAAAGAGGGGATTTGTCTGGGGGTGTTTGCTGGGGGTGGAGGGATCAACACCTTGTCACAGTTCATTCAGTCCTATAAATACGGCTTCAGTTACAGGACAGCTCACTGTGCTGAAGGTTTTAATTATCATTAACAACTGACAACATTACTACATGACTGTGTAAAAGCAAGATAAGTTACATATTAATCCAGAAATCATTGAGACCTTCCTTCTTGGAGCCAAACAGCTGATAGTTGTCTAAAAGTCAACAGCGAACTTTGACCCGAGCATCAGAACAACTCTACTTCTTATTTTGTAAGTGTCGAAAACTAAAGACAAGGTTTAACTTAAAAACAATCGACTGCAGTTAATTGTGGTCCACTTTAGAGCTGCTATATTCTTCACCATTTCATAACGGCAGTAATTTAATTTTGGCATATATATATATTTATTCAGAATGTATGCCCATATAAAAGCTACATCAAAAGTACAATGGTGTTCTATTTTTGGAAGCACAAAAAAACACTTTCTCCATGTAGTAACATATGTAATATTATATTAAGCATTAACCTTATTTTTGAAAGGTCAAAATTAAGAGAAAAGGTCACAAAACAAATATTGGAATAATTGAAACAAGACAGTAAAGATCAATACTTATAAGTTTCTCAGGTCTAATCTGGTTAGAATGTCCAGGAAGGGACTCTATATCCGGTCAAATTTAGCCAATGTCCCACGCACCAAATGGAGAATTTTTTCAGGAGTAGTTTACAACAGTTCGTTGATCCAATGTTTCTTATTTGGAGGCTCCATAGATTTCCAGTTTTTAAGTATAAATCTTTTTTGGTTCCGATGATGCTAACAAAACAAAGTATTTCTTGCAAACATTTAAGCAGTAATTTAATTTTATTCCTTTGTGATTATGAAATTGTTCAAAGCCAATGCTATAATCATAGATTTTTTACTGCTTAAGTTATAAAGTTTAAAAACTTGTGTAAAATATCTGTTTTTTAGGACCAAACACAACCTGCCTACATAAAGTTTAGTTAGAAAACTAGGGGGTACCTGCAGAAATTGAGGTCTAACAGATATTATGTTTTTAGGAAAACTTAAACTTTGCAACACAAACAGAAAGCGTATTAAGTTTGTGTTTTCATCATTTCCTTCTTTGTTGTCAGATCCTGCCTTTTTATTAATTCATCTGATTCATTGCAAGTTTGGATTTGTTAATTTTAGTCGAGTGTTTGGATTTTGCCCTTTTGATAGAAGTCTTTTGTTTTTTTTTATCTGTTAGTTGTATTTCAGCTTCCTCTGTTACTTATGTTTCCTCCCTCAGCCGCCCTGACATTATGCCGCCTCCATGTTTCCTCTCACTTCTTCATTCTGATCATCTGTCAGTCTCTAATCCTGCTACAATATTTAAACTCACTACTTCTCTTGGTTCACCACCGGAAACATTTGTTTTACTGCTTGGTGTCCATTACTCCATTACTCTGCATAGTTCTTTGTTCAAGCATCACCCTGGGGCCGCCTAGTGTTATTTTCCTTTTTTTCGTTATTAAATCCCACTTTTCACAACAGGACAATACTCCAGAATTCCTGTCTAGACTCTGGTCCCGATTCAGCTCTTTTCATTTCACCTGGCTTCTTTGCTTTAACTTTATTCCTTTAGAAAGATAGAAATTAAACTTTATTGATCTCACAATGGAGAAATTCATTTATTTAATTCGTTCATTTAACCCTTCTCCTTGAGGAGTAGGAGGAGTAGTGGGCTGCATCTGTGCAGCGCACGGGGAGCATTGTGGGCTAAGGGTCTTGCTCAGAGAGCCAGAGCGGAAGCTTTGGTTACACCATAACCTGGAGATTTGTATACAGGTAAAAGCCATGAATTAGAATATTTTGAAAAACTTGATTTATTTCAGTAATTGCATTCAAAAGGT